TGGCCCTAAACATGAGATTATGAAGCAACTCATAGCTGCTAACTCCAAATAGGTTAGGGCCCTTCAACAACATTGAAGAGGGACCAAAAATAAGCCTCTTTACAGAACTGTAAAAACCCTAAAAACAAACATAGATATGGCTAAGCTCTTATGCAAGAAAATGGGCCAAAAGGTGGCCAAAGAGGCAAGTGGTATATGCACAGCCCAAACTGAAAAATTCCATTCTACAACATTGAAGAGGGACCAAAAATATGACTATTTACAGAACTGTAAAAACTCCAAAACAGTATACAAACATGCTAGAAATGCAATGCAAAATGAGGCTCAAAAGTGGCTATAACACAAGTCTACAAAATATTCCACAAACGGCCAAAGACCCTTAATGAAACATGTTAATAAGGTCAAAATAAGACTACTTCTAGGCCTGTAAAAAACCAAAAACAGAAGCATGATAGGCTGCCAAAGCATGCAAGAAAACGGCATTCAAGGAGGATATTGAAGCAAGTGCAATATGGAGGGCTCAAACAGGGTTGAGCCCTTAATGAAACAAGAAAATGAGCTCAAAAAGGTGACCTTTTCAGTTTTGGTCGGAGCTCAAATCAATAAGCATGTATGGCTTATAAATGGTGCAAGAAATGGACCAAAAAGGGAGAATGCTACTCGCCTTTGAAGACCAATGCTTTTGTTGCTTCTTGGACCAACTTTGATGATTCTAAGCTGCTGGAATTCCTCCCCTTGCTGCTGGAATAGAGTGGTGGTGGTGGTGCTTGATGATGATGAAGAAATGAGGTGTAGCACTTGGATCTTTTTCAAGGAAATGAGAGAGATGAAGAGGGATTCTTGTATTCAAGATTGAAGAGCAAATTTTCTAACCTCTATCACCAATGCCACCTACTGGTTATATGGACAAAAAAGGGGGAGTAGAGGAGGGGCAAAGGTGGGGGAAAATTAGGCAAGTTTTCCCCCACAAAATGTCTCCCAGATTGGGATATTTTCTGGAGGAAAGAGCTATACAGCTGTAAAGTGGATATTGAGAGGAACATGGCCGGCCCCTTTTTGGAGCTCCAGGTGGCCGGCCGGCCACCTCCCCTAGCCGGCCGGCCAAGGGTCAAAACGGTCAAGTTGAAATAGTGGCCGGCCACCACTTTTTAAGGTCCTCCCATGTGTGTACATCACAGATATGTGGTTCAAAGTTCAAGAAAAAGGGCCCAGGTTGTTCAACATTAGCCCGAAAGGAGGGGTTCAAAAGGGTCAGGAAACATTACTGGCCAGCCACCAACTTTTAGGATCCTCCCAAGTGTGTACATCACAGATATGTGGTTCAAAGTTCAAGAAAGTGGCCCCAAGGTGTTCAACATTAGCCCGGAAGTGTGAAAAACGGGCGTCGGAGGGCGTCGGAGGATATATAACTGGTTGCTACAACAATTACTGGCCTCCCACCCTTCAGTGACCTTCCCGGTGATAAAACAGAGGTACCTGCCAAAAATGAACAAAAACCGATGCAAAACGAATGTTCGGGGACCAAAACACGCAGTTCGGGATCCCGAAAATGAGTCGTCAAGTACCGAAAGTGGCATTTGGGCACGAGGTGGGTTTCTCAGACCCCAATGTCCCTCAAAAGGGAGTAAATAGGAGGTATGCCAGAAATCAGAACAAACGGAGATGGTTAGGTGGTCCCGAACCGAGGCACACGGCCAACGGTCTTGAAAAACCGGAAACCGGACTCCGAAATGGGCAAAATGGCCTGCAGCCACAAAATGTAGCCCACGGCCACTGAGAGATGGTTTGCGGGACCTCTCCCTCCTCTCAGGAAAAGAAACAGCGAAAACCGAGCCTGGTTCGCAAACCGAGGCAAAGCACAAAAGAGGGTTCGGAAGTCCGGAGGCAGGGCTCACGGCCGTGACTCTGAAACTTCTGAACGAGCACATTATGTAGTATCACCAAGCGCTCAATCGGTGACATCTGAGTCTTAAGGTCGGTCAAAAATGGGGTGCCTACAGTAAGTTAATCACATATATATGTGTCATAAAATTTTCATAATTTTCTGAGAGATCGTTTGATGTGTCTATTTCGTTGTCATAGTTGCTGGTTTGTCTTGATCATGTCATTGTCTCATGTTTAGTTTAGGATTGTCATGCATTAATCATGTTTTGTCTTGTTTTCTACCATGATTGCATGCTTGTTAATTTTCATGGTAGTGTAGTGTTTGATTGGCATCATTATAGTTGTTAGTTTCTTTTTCTTTTTCTTTTTTCTTTTTTTTTTAGCGAAACACTAATTTAACTAATTGAACCAATGAAATCGAGTGAAGTCATCGTGCATATTAAGGTCTAACAAATTTATCTAATTGAACTAATGAAATTGACTAAAGGATAACTTATCAGTTGGGCAAGATGGGTGCCTCACACCTTCCTAATTTGTACCTAGGACTCTGATTGTAGTTTCCTTGGTTGTATCTTGTGTTTTATCTATGAAGTCAAGTTTCTGTTTTTTTTCTTCTTCTGTTTTAGGATGATATTGGGTTTCCTAGTAGTACTTTGAGAAAAAATTAGCTGGCAACTCCATCGAATGGATCGCTGTTTCTCGTGACAATTACTAACTATTACATTTTCTTCTTGATTCAAAGTTTGAATAATTTGGATTAAATATTCAAGTCTTTCTACATCTCTAGAAGTTTTAAATTCTTATTCTAAAGACCACAATGTCCTATACTTTCATAGTCTTCGTATTTTTATGTGAATCTTTGGTCATTATATTTCTCTTCTATAGGAATTCTTACACTAAATGATACACTGAAACATTTTCTTCCTTCAAACTTTAGAATGAGATTTTTGTCTAATTACTTCATAGTTCGAGAATACTTCTAAGTGCTGGACCTTTCCTTTTTTTTTCTTGGTTTCCATTTATGAGGAAGCTGAATATTTCTCCATTGAGTGATTTTTGGTTGATAGCCTATTGTAAATGAAGGGAGTTCTTCCCCCTTTTTGACTAAACAAATTATTTGCCATTTTTTAACACATTAACTTAAGTACACTCGTCAAATTTAAAAAACTTGATTCATGAGTTGTTGGTGCGACTCTGAGCATCTCTAATATCAATCATGAAATTTAGAATTGCATTAAAGAACATAATTTGTTTACTTGTGTTAGCTTGCGTAACTCTCAATAGGCTTCAATGCTATCATCATCTCCTAAAGATACATAAGAGTATTGAGAGTGGAATACGTATATTTCTGTGTATGTTTATATTTTGTCAAGTCAAACAATTTCTCTCTCTTTACAAGCTCTCTATCAAACTTCGAACAAACTTCAAAGAAATTACACATTATATACTTTATACTTTTTTTTCACTATAAAATGTCATAATAAAAATTACAAAGTATCATAACAAAAATCACAAAGTACCATAACATTATCATCCCTAACTTTAAAGTGCACATCATAAATTCATTATTCATAATTTTATTACAAAATATCATAACATACATTACAGATAATCATATTTTTTTTTTTTTATAATGTACATCTTCGGCCTTGTTTGGGATATTCTAAAAAAGTTAAAAAGTCACTATCCTATTTAAGTCGCATCATCTTATTTAAGTCACATCACCTCTCTACCACATCACTTCAAACCCAACCCATACCCAATCCATATTTCACAAAAAGTCAAAAAGTGCATTTATTTAGATCATCCCAAACCACCACTTATTAATATTTTTATCATACACTATATTTATTTGAAACGAACAAATGTACATATAAGTCTTTTGATCAAAAGAAACATAACTAAACACAAACATAAGAACACATAAAATGGCGCCCATACGATTACATATTTCAACTTCTTCAAGAAAATGTAAAGTAAATGCAAAAATTTAGATTCAAATTTGACATCCCATGTTCAAAAAAACCAAAAAACAAAATTTGACATCCTAAGCCCAAAACACTTTCTTCTTGATTCAAAGTTTGAATAATTTGGATTAAATATTCAAGTCTTTCTACATCTCTAGAAGTTTTAAATTCTTATTCTAAAGACCACAATGTCCTATACTTTCATAGTCTTCGTATTTTTATGTGAATCTTTGGTCATTATATTTCTCTTCTATAGGAATTCTTACACTAAATGATACACTGAAACATTTTCTTCCTTCAAACTTTAGAATGAGATTTTTGTCTAATTACTTCATAGTTCGAGAATACTTCTAAGTGCTGGACCTTTCCTTTTTTTTTCTTGGTTTCCATTTATGAGGAAGCTGAATATTTCTCCATTGAGTGATTTTTGGTTGATAGCCTATTGTAAATGAAGGGAGTTCTTCCCCCTTTTTGACTAAACAAATTATTTGCCATTTTTTAACACATTAACTTAAGTACACTCGTCAAATTTAAAAAACTTGATTCATGAGTTGTTGGTGCGACTCTGAGCATCTCTAATATCAATCATGAAATTTAGAATTGCATTAAAGAACACAATTTGTTTACTTGTGTTAGCTTGCGCAACTCTCAATAGGCTTCAATGCTATCATCATCTCCTAAAGATACATAAGAGTATTGAGAGTGGAATACGTATATTTCTGTGTATGTTTATATTTTGTCAAGTCAAACAATTTCTCTCTCTTTACAAGCTCTCTATCAAACTTCGAACAAACTTCAAAGAAATTACACATTATATACTTTATACTTTTTTTTCACTATAAAATGTCATAATAAAAATTACAAAGTATCATAACAAAAATCACAAAGTACCATAACATTATCATCCCTAACTTTAGAGTGCACATCATAAATTCATTATTCATAATTTTATTACAAAATATCATAACATACATTACAGATAATCATATATATTTTTTTATAATGTACATCTTCGGCCTTGTTTGGGATATTCTAAAAAAGTTAAAAAGTCACTATCCTATTTAAGTCGCATCATCTTATTTAAGTCACATCACCTCTCTATCATATCACTTCAAACCCAACCCATATCCAATCCATATTTCACAAAAAGTCAAAAAGTGCATTTATTTAGATCATCCCAAACCACCACTTATTAATATTTTTATCATACACTGTATTTATTTGAAACGAACAAATGTACATATAAGTCTTTTGATCAAAAGAAACATAACTAAACACAAACATAAGAACACATAAAATGGCGTCCATACGATTACATATTTCAACTTCTTCAAGAAAATGTAAAGTAAATGCAAAAATTTAGATTCAAATTTGACATCCCATGTTCAAAAAAACCAAAAAACAAAATTTGACATCCTAAGCCCAAAACGCGGTGTCTTTCATTAATATGACCAAAATATGTTAAATCAAATTGTATGAAATTTTTATATAAAATTTGATTTTTATATGTGAAAAATTATTTTTATCATAAAATAAATATTTTTAATCTTTTAACCTCCTAATCCACATCACAATGCCAAGTTCGTAAGTAAGGAGATTCTTTCCAGTGAGAAATCACAGCTAGAGTTGGGCCTCTATGAGCTCACCATAGGATCACCTCATTATCTAAATCGTTTATCTTTTAAGGCTCTGTAACAGATTATCCATGCCAAATCAGGTTGATCAAATAATTGTAATCACATGATTGGTTCATATTTATTTTCAAAAAAATACATGGCAAGTATAATTTTGAAAATAGACATTGTCCATTATTTTGAGGACAAATGTGATATCATCACGTGATTACGATTATTTGATCAACCTAATTTTTTTACATAAATTATCTACTCAAAAGTTCTTAAAAGTTGAACGGTTCAAATTATATGACAGCCCATGAAGGCCCAATTTACCAACTACAAAGAATCTCCATCTTATGCATGACTCATTAGTTCACATTATTGGAGTTAGGCAAGGCACCCATCCATGCTGGTGGCAACATTCCAGTTTGCTCATGAACAGTCTTAAACAATGGTGGCAACATCTTATAAACACCAGCAACCTCCTTCATAGCACCACCCTCACCGCCATCACCATTAGTCCAAATACTAATTTTAGGCTGCAGCCCACGAACCGCCTCGCCATTAATCTTGGCAATCTCCTGAAACATCCCACCATTGATCATCAAGTAATCTCTAAGAGCATTGTAATTCCCTCCTAACGCGTCCAAAAGCGTGCGTATATAAACCCCTTGGGCTTGTGCGAGCGCTATAAGCCCTGCAGCTTCTTTTTGTTTAGCATATAATTCTCCATCAGCAAGTTGTTGGCGGGCATAGAAAGCAGCCTCAGCCGTGGCTTTTTGGGCCTGGGCTTCTTTCTGTTTCTCGTACAGAATTGCTTCGGCTGCTTTCTGTTTGTTGTGGAGCTCCCAATTTGCCTCTTGTACCTTTGTTTTTCATCAAAATGGTTAATTCCAAGTTTTTTGCGGAATGTTAATTTGATATTAGTGAAATAAATGAAAAATGATATACGAGTATAATTTCTAGACTCATTATGTCTAAATGATATGATTGGTTGATAATTAGAAAAAAATGAGTGAAAGTGTTGCACGATGATACCAAAATTTTAATGAAAATTCTAACCATACCAAAATTTTCAGACAAAATTAATGATGTGACTGTTTTACTCAACGAAGTGACATGATATAACTATTTTACTCAAAAAAAAAAATTTTTGGTATAAAAAAGTTTAGGTGAGGGAAGGCTATCTCAGTCTAGGGTTAGGGCAAGCTACCAAGGAGGACTACTAGTAGTAGTGGGAATCGAACCTAAGTCTTAAAGACGAAAAGTCCGATCCATACCAACTTAACCAATTCTCGCTGGCTATTTCACTCAACTCTAAGTAATGCAAATTGATTGCTATTAATCACGGAAAAATGATATACAAATCCACTTTATAGACCTATTTTCTAGACCGAGTAATGTGCCAATAAGATGATTGATTAATGATTAGAGAATAAATGAGAAAGAGAATTGACTTAGATATTTTAATAGAATATCATATCATTGAGTTTAAAAAGTGAGTCTAATTTTTTAATTTAAATAGCAATACTCATCTAAATAATATGACACACCACTTTTGTATTAATATTTTAAGAAACAACATAAAATGTGTCAATTAATAAGTAAAATAAAACATTATTCTGGAAACACGTAATATTTTTTTCTTAAAATATAATTAATCAAAATAAATAGGAGAAATTGCATTAGTGGGATAGCAAAAAAAATATTTGTATTTCATGGTGGTTCAAATTTTCTATGTGCATGGGATAAATATTTTATGTACATAGTGTAAGTATTTGTGTGTCAGAGACTAAAAATGATTTCATCTATAGTATAATTATTTTTTTACTGAACCAGTGATTTGTAATTTTTTCAAATAAATAAAGACAAAATACTTTAAATAATGATATTGTTAAAGATGTTGTAATTTGGTGGTTAATTTTAGAACTCTTAGATTAACCTAGATGAAACACCTGATTATTAAAAAGTAATAAATAAATAAAATAATGCTGTAACATGCTTGTTAAATACTCAAAGCTCAAGCTTATCTAATCATGAAAAGTTAAGATCAGATCAGATTACGTGTTTGCCAAATAAAACAAGTCAACGGAATTCTAATTTAACATGATCAGGCCAATTGATTTTGACTTTTTATAATTAATACATATTTTATTAACTTGATAGTTGCAGGTTGTCATGATCAGGCCACTTGAATTTGACTCCTTATTATTAATACATATTTTATTTATTAATTTATGTTTTTAGTTAAGAATATTTTTATCTCAAATTACGTAAAAATATAATTACTAATGTATTGTTTGATAAAATTTATAATTTATTTTTATTTACAAAAATATTAAACATGTTTAATTTTACTTTAGGTGAAAACAAAAACAAAACATTAAACTATCATTATCTAATCATTTTGGATTAATTTTTTCTATAAAAATTATGTTTCAATAATATTATAGTAACCAAAATTTAAATACTATTTTTCAAACATAACAATAATAAAGACTCCCTTTTAGAGAATTTCATAATTGTAAAGTGATCCACCTCATTTATAATATGTAAAGCCTACTCATAAATAATGTAAATCACTTTAGAAATTGTGAAATCTTTCAAAAAGGGGTCTAGTCATTTTCCGATTACATAAAAGTGTAAGTTGCACACCTTTGTTTCATACTCAACACTAGCTTTGCTCAAGAACTCAGCCTTAAGCTTCTCCGTCCGAGTCAATGCATTCATCATCTCCACCTCCCTCTGCAACTCCGCATCCCGGAGTGCCACCGCCTTTGTCGCCTCCACCTCCGCCACTTGTGCCTCTCTGGCCCACCCCGCCTTCTTTTTTGCCAACTCAGCATTTGCCTCCGCCACCTCAGCCTCCCTTTGATTCTCAAAAACTTTCACATCGGTCTTAACCCTAATTTCCTCTTTTTTCCCCTCTCCTTGCCTTTGCGTCGATATAATCTTTGTATCCGCATCAATTTTCGCAGCGTTTTGAAGGGTTTGTCCTTCTCGAAGCTTAGACCCTATCTCTCCTTTCATTTTCGCTTCGGCAACATCAACTTTGGCTTGGTTAGCAGCCTCCATTTGTGTTTTTTGACCCAAGTATGAAAAGTACTCATGTCCAGGAACATCAACAAGTTGTTTAACATTGGCATTGTAGATTAAAAGCCCAAATTGGTTAAGTTCAAGTTGAACTTTCTCAAAAACTTCTTGTTTGAACTCTTTGGTTCCTCTGAAGATCTCCTCCATGGTCATTGAGGCAGCGAGCACACGTGTTTCACCTGTTGGGAATGAAAAAACTATTCTTATCCAAAATTTATACATAAATTTACTTCTAGAATGATATGATAGTGAGAAGGAAAAAGATATTTTTACAAAAAATATGTACAGTACAGATCAGAATATGCTATCAGAATGATATAACTGTAACGTTTATACAATTTACAGTCAAGTTGATGGGTTCTTTGTTTAAAGAGATAGGGTTACCATGTTGCCATGTCATTCTATACATATTTTTTTAGAGAAAAGTTAGGGATCATGAAAAATTTTTCATGAAAATGATCATGAAAGATTTATGATTCTTGTATTATCTTGATTAGTGTATGGTGCTTTATTCCAAGTGTAATCCAAAGGTCACAAAACTTTTATGATTATTTTCATGAAAAATTTTTCTTCATGATACTAGCATTGCTGATTTTTTTATAGCATAATTTATGTTCATAACGATGAGCTTATATTTTTAAGAGAAACTATTATAATAAAATAGAGCATTCAATATATATAATAATTTTGTACAATTTTTCTGTTCATAGAAGATTATTCGTTGGGGATTTAGAAATTAAAAATACATAAATATAAACATAGCGCATTAATACAAAATGATGATAAATAAATATATATATATATATATGTGTGTGTGAGACATTAATTCTCTAAATGTCAACGATAAAAATCATGAATCAAGTAATCAATGAACATAAGATAATAAAAAAAAAAATTAAAAAAAAAAAAGAACTGTGAGATTGATAAGAGATATCTTTCCTTTAAGTAGGAAGTGGAAGACAAATATTGGTTCAAAATACAACCCAGATTCTCACATAATTCTTTAAGGCAAACTTTACTTTACCCCTTTGTGATTTGGGTCGGGTGTGATTTATCCACTGACATTCAAAAATACCACATAACCTCCTTATGGTTGATAGATTAAAACGCACAGTTAGTTTTTCTGTCTAAAATAATAAAATGTGAAAGTCACGCGCCTCTATAGAGAGTGAGTCCATTTTTATCACGAAAATACCCTTTCTACCTCTTCAAATTTACAAAAGGTGCCATTATATGAGATTGCATATGTATAAACTAAAACTGGTTTAATATTTCTCACCAAATCACTCAATTAATTATATTCATCAAATAAAGAAATCATAGAATTTAGATCAAATTATCTTTCATCTTTCTTTCTTTCTTTTTTTTTTTTTTTTTTTCCTGGGTAGAAGTTTATAAATCTGGATATTTTATATATATATACAACCCAATCAATTTTTTTTTTTAGTTTTACAACTTCTAAATCAAACTATATATATATACAACCCAATCAATTTTTTTTTTTAATTTTATAACTTGTGAATCAAACCCACCGCCACAGCGCATTTGTGACATTAGTGAAATTTTTGAGATTGAAAAGTTCAAACAAAAAAGGAGACTGAAATAGAGTAAACCCAAAAGACCCATTTTAGAGGTTCATTTGAGTGTGCATTTGTTTTGAAGATTAAAAGGTGTGTAACTAAGTTTTTGACTGAATGGAGATATGAAGAGACGTGCAGATCTAGAGAGAGAGAGGAATGGAGAATTAGATGAGTAGGGTTTTAGAAGGAGTGGGCTAAAGAAGATGAAGAGGAGAGAGAGAGAGAGAGCTATGAAATGTGAATGATGATTGATGGAAATGGAGGACTTGAATGAAAATAGAGAAACTCCCTCCAATTCTGCCGAGACAAAACTTTCACACGCACGCATTCAGATTCTCGCACTCTCTGTATATGTGTTTGGGATGAAAATGCAGAGAGAGAAGAAGATGAAGATGGAGAGAGAAAGAACTGGTTTCCCTCACTTATATATGAGGGTATAATTGTCAATTTACTATTTATGTTAAAAGAAGTTAGTATGTGTTTTGGTTCATGAACCACAATGGGTTATATGATGATTTCTAAATATTAGGGGGTAAACTGCACCTGGCCTAAGCCATAGGAGATAAAGTGAAATTTACCCAATTCTTTATTTAAAATTTTGTAGCTTAATTTGCAACATTATTAATTACCTTCGATGATGCCTTGGACGAGGTCTTTGACGTGATTAGAGAGCTTGTCATGGGGAGAGATGAGTTTGGCATATTTAAGGAGGCTGGCATTGTCGTCAATACGGGGGCCAACAGTGAAGACTGCGGGCAGAACGAAAGGAAGTTTCTCAGCACTCATGGCTTGGACTTCGAAAGTGTAATTTACAGGCGACACGTCGAAGATTGCACAGCATTGGCCAGGAAGAACCCATGCCTTTTTCGCAATTTTTATGTCGGGGATGCCAACCCCGGTGATCACTAGGTATTCGGATGCACTTGCAACTTTATACATGATTGTAGGTCTGACTTATCACCTCACTGTTTGCCCACCTTATGAAAGGTTTATAGAACTAGTTCTAAATTAGTAGTATAGGAAAGATGGAATGTTTGAGCACAAAAACTTGATTGAATGTGATTTCAATAGAGAGAAGTGCATGAAGAATATATAGCAAGATGAGAATATATATATATAGTGCTGAATACTAGGCATCATTGTATTTGCCAGGTGGTGTGAACAGAATATAATCGTATTTTTACCTTTTTCCTATTTGAAAATTTAATTCTAAAAGGAGAATAGTCTTCGCAATGAAACTTTCCCAGCAATTTTGCAGCATTATTCATATGAGTTCCTGTGAAATTGCATGAAGTTTCTCTTCTGGAGTTTACCAATTTGAATAGGTTTATTTTTAGTTTTATTATCATGACTATTTTAATTCTCATATTTTAACTTCCGCAATTGGTTCTTTATTTAAAGAAATTATTTGGAATTTTTTATTTTAAAATACCCATATCTATAACAAATAAAGAAATTTGGTCAAGTTATACGGGTAGTCTCTATACTTTGGTTTTTGTGTTATTTTGGTCCCTCTAATTTCAAATGGCTCGACTTTAACCCTAAAGTTTTCACTTTGTCTCAATTTGATCCAAGTGATTATAATTATTAGCATTATTTTATGAAAAATGTACACATGAACAGCATATGTCATGCTTTTAAGGCCAAAATTGTAAGTTTGATCAATTCCATAAGTTAACCTCAACTAACTCAGTGATTATTTTTCGTAAAATGCCCTAATAAGTAAATATTATCATATCTTGTGCACATTACAAAACAATGGATGGAGGATGGCAGCCGGTGGTTCGAAGACATAGCGGAAGAGGAGGCCGGAATAGCTGGACGACTGGGTCTATCCACTCTGTTTTCGTGGATAATCTACCCGAAACCATGCGAGCTAAAGGGCTGTACTCACTCTTCTCCAACTATGGGGTTGTGAATGAATACTATCAATTGGATTAAAATTGACATAATGTGAAAAATAAAGAACAAAAGTGATACAATTAGCACTATAGAGCACCATAGAACTTTGTTGGTTTCTTTGAGTATACTATATTAAGTTTACAAGTGAGTAATAGTAAAACAATGGATGGAGGATGGCAGCCGGTGGTTCGAAGACATAGCGGAAGAGGAGGCCGGAATAGCTGGACGACTGGGTCTATCCACTCTGTTTTCGTGGATAATCTACCCGAAACCATGCGAGCTAAAGGGCTGTACTCACTCTTCTCCAACTATGGGGTTGTGATTGATTCCTTTATTCCAAACAAGAGGAGGAAAATGATGAGATCCCAGTTTGGGCTTGTCAGATACAGGTGTCCTGTTGCAGCGGATATGGCTGTTCAGAAAGCCAATGGGCTCTGGTGTGATGATAAAGCTTTGAAGGTTAAAAAAGCAGATTATGGTAAGGAAGATGGTATGAAACAGCAGGCTGGGCCATCAGTGCAGCCTAGAAAGTATGCAAGGGAACTAAACAGAATGCATGTGGGTCACCAAGGTATGAGATCTTTTGTGGAAGTGGTGAGTGGCAAGGCATCAGGTTATAACTCCTCCTGTATTATCAAAGCCTACGAGGAAGGTAATGGATGGCTATATGAGAGTGTCATAGCCAGGTTGAAACCAATCTATGCTGTGGAAGACTTCAAGGAAGAACTAGCAAGGAAAGATCTGAGGGAAGTTCAAGTGAGCGTAGGTGGTGGAAGAGATTTGGTCTTAACATTTCAATCTAAGGAAATTATGAAGGAAAAACTTCTGTTAATGAGGAGCTGGCTAGATGAATGGTGTGATTCAGTTCTTGAATGGGAACAGGGGATGTCAATTACCCAAGAGAGGAAGGTTTGGCTCAGTTGCTATGGAGTCCCACTAAATCTTTGGAGTTGTAACACCTTCATTAACATTGGTAAGATGTGGGGTATGGTTGGATGAGGATACTCGTAATTTAAATCATTTCCAATGTGGAAAAGTGCAGATTGCGACAAACTTTATGGATCCTATTAATCAATTCCTCAGATTAGAATGCAAGGGAGTCCTTTACCTAGTTAGGGTGTGCGAGGAACAAATCATTATCATCCAAGATATGAAGATGCCCGGTTTCAGCCACTCATCTGAAGAACATCTCGGTGGAATCAGAAATAGTACTCTTGCAGCAGTGGGCAAACAGATTGTAGATAGAGGGAGCAAGCACATAGAAGGGGTTGATCATGTAACAATGCAAGCGCACGATAGCAGCAACACCATGGTGGAAGATGACCAGCTTAGAGACACTTCGAAGGTGGCTGAATCAGATCCGCAGAAAGGCATGTCAGAAGAAATCGGCTACGTATGTCAGTAGAGTTCTGCAAGACTGCTGGCGAGTCCCAAGAGGAGAGCCGTTGATGATGGTGAAGATGGAATTCAAATTTCTGGATTGATTAAAACTCTAGCTGGGCCTGATAACATGGACTGTGGGCTTAAGTTAATTGTGGATTTGAAATCGACCCATGAATGCTATGGATCGGATGAGGCTCCAGTCTTGGACCCCCAGGAGCTAATCACTACAGAGAAGGCTGTTGTGGGTGGGCCAGATGGGAGAGTGTCAAGCCTTTCTAAGGCCCATGACAAGGAGCCCAGCAGCAGTCTTTCAAGGCCTACACAAGGGAAGGAGAAGACAAGAAGTAGGAGAAAATCAAACCACACTTTTCTGGGGAAAAAGTCCTTCGACCTGTTAAGGAAGTATGAGAGCAAAGGGGCTTCAACCAGTAGAGCAATGCCCAGGGCTGCAGTATAGCGGGCAGCAGTGGCGGCAAGGTCCTCATCTGCATCAATAGAGGGTGGAACTGTTAAGGGGAGGTTCACCCTCATCGAAGCTGAAGAAACTCTCAAGATGGGGAAAGCTCTTGGTGTGCAGTTCAATGGTAAGCAAGCTGCTGTGTTGGAGAAGATTGTGAACCTTGAATTGAAGGACAAGGAACAAATTGAAGGGGAGGTGAGAGGTGGGGTCTGATGGTCACCACCTGGGGGAATGTATTAGAGCTCTCATGGTTATTTATGAAGATTCTTTCATGGAATGTTAGAGGGTTGGGGAGGAAGGAGAAAAGAGGCAAAGTTAAGAAGCTCCTGAAGGAGAGGAATATAGATATTGTGTTGCTCCAAGAAACTAAAAAGGCTGAATTAACAGAGGATGAAGTTAGATCTGTGTGGGTCCGAGACAAAATGGAGTTTATGGTGGTGGATGTTGTAGGCTCGGCTGGGGGATTACTGTGCATATGGGACCCAGATGTCTTCCAACTAACAGAATGTTGTAGCAATAGAAGACTCATCTTATTATCAGGTGCCATCTTTAACCAATTTAATTGTGCTATTTTAAATATTTATGCCCCTAATGATGTTGGATTAAGAGGGCATCTGTGGGACTGTCTATTGAAATTAAAGGAGGAATTCCCAAATCCTTGGTGCTTAGGAGGAGACTTCAATGAGATTAGGCAGATTGCGGATAGGAGAGGTTGCTCTAGGAGAGATAGGGGCATGAAAGAATTTAATGAGTTCATTGATAAGTGTGAGGTATCTGATTTACCACTACTTGGGAGGAGATTCACTTGGTGTAATTCATTTGGTGGGGAAAAATGGAGCAAAATTGATCGAATTTTTGTAGATCCTAGATGGCTTGAGATATTTAACCTGAAGCTATGTTGTTTACCAAGACTGGTCTCTGATCACTGCCCTCTTCTTATGATGGAGGATGAGAGTTACTGGGGTCCAAAGCCCTTTAGGGTCCTGAACGCTTGGTTTTTGCATAAAAATTTTCGAAGCTTCTGGGAGTCAAAGTGGAAGGAGTCTAGGGTTGATGGTTGGGCTGGGTTTATTCTTATTCAGAAGTTGAAGATCTTGAAAAATGGCCTGAGAAGCTGGAATGTGGAGGTTTTTGGTAATATTGTAAACAAATTGAAGACTGTAGAGGGTGAACTTCACAAAATTGATCTACTGGATGAGGCTAGAGACCTTGATGATGATGAAAAAGGCAGGAGACGTGAAGTTAGAGCTGAAATGTGGAGTTTGAGTAGGATGGTGGAGTGGCTATGGCTGCAAAAGTCTAGGCTTAACTGGGCGATGAAAGGGGACAAGAATACAAGGTTCTTCCATGTGGTCACAAAGTGCAGAACAATAAGAAATGAATTACATTCCATTACAGAAAGGGACGTGGTGTATGAAGAGCCGAGCCAAGTGAAGAACAAGGTGATGCAATACTTTAAAAACCAGTATACGGAACTCTGGCCAGACAGACCTGAATTGGGGGGTCATTTCCCATCAGCAGATGGTAGTGTGAGGTTTGATCTGTTAGAAACAGAGTTTTCAAAAGCAGAGATTAAACTAGTAGTGATGGAGTGTGATGGTAATAAAGCACCCGGACCTGATGGCTTTAATATGTTGTGTTTTCAGAAGTTTTTGAAGGTCATGAAGGGTGAGGTTGTTACTTTTGTGAAAGAATTTCATAGGAATGGCAGATTGGTAAAAGGCATTAACAGTTCCTTTATAACCCTCATCCCCAAGCGGGACAATCCTTCGGGGCTTTCCGACTATAGACCCATAAGTTTGGTGGGCTCACTCTTCAAAATCATAGCAAAACTTTTGGCAAATAGACTAAAATCTGTTATGCCACATATTATTAGTGAGCCTCAGTCTGCGTTTCTTAGTGGTAGGAATATTTTAGATGGTGTGTTGATTGCAAATGAGGTTATTGAAGGCTGGAAGAAAAACAAGAGGAAGGGAGTCCTTATTAAGTTGGATTTTGAAAAGGCATATGATTCCGTTAGTTGGGGTTTTCTGTTCTCTATGCTATCTAAGTTCGGTTTTGGTGCTAAGTGGATCAACTGGATGAAGGAGTGTGTAACTACGGCAAGAGTTTCAGTGCTTGTTAATGGATCTCCCACTGAAGAGTTTAGCCCCCAAAGGGGCCTAAGACAAGGTGATCCGCTATCTCCCTTTCTGTTTAATCTGGTTGCAGAAGGCTTGCATCTTTTGTTGAGCAGAGCTTGTGGGTTAAACCTAATTAAAGGGGTGAAGGTAGGCCATGAGGGAGTGTTGTTGACTCATTTACAGTTTGTAGATGATTCACTCTTGTTCTGTGAAGCAGAGGTGGAGGAGGT